ATGGTTTTTACTTATCGCGGGGCTTCAGGGTACAGATTCCCCGTGATAAAAGAAGGACTACTGTATTAGGGCATATGAATTTTTTTTACATTTCTTTCTTAATTGTTTGTCATTCCAGAGTGAGTGTCTGTTTGTTTGTGAGGGCTTTTTGTCCTGACGTTATCTCTCCCTGCTTCGTCCTCAGGGGACGTTTTAATCCTCAGATGAGTGAAAAAGAAGCTGCAGCTTTTATCATCAAAGTCATCCAGAGTTGTTTCCTCAGCAGCAGGTGAGAAAAAGAGAACTTTTTTCTTCTGATTTTACTCCTGCAGTTTAAAAACAAAAACATAATGTTGAATCATTTGAACATTTCAAATGGGTTTCTTATTAATTGGTATTTTTTACCATTTGTGATTGAAGTATTAAAACAAAAAGTCGTGGAAATGGAAACAAGTGATTTGTGCAGCTGTCAGAAACAGATATGTTGACTATGTAGACTGATAGGAACATTTGATTTAGCTCTTTTTATTTAATTTTTTTTTACAGTAAGTAGCTGAGAGCAATGATTTTTTATTGGCAATATAAGATCCATGTTATGTGTTTTATTATAATTAGAGCGACTAGTCACTACAGACATGCCTATTAAATTATGTTATAAATTCGAGACGAAGACATGGTTTAAAACAAACTACAATCAATATTAAACTTGACAAAAAATAAGAGATTTTAAAAAAGAAAAAACAAATAAAATGGAATTATCAGAGCTTTTAAACTTTGTTTTTTATCAACTTTTTAATCAAAAGATGAAGCTCTTTGTAAAATTGAAATAATATAAGTAAGTACATCACATGTATGTGGGCAGTTGTGGCTGAGAAGTTAGAGCAGTCGTCCTCCAACTGGAGAGTTGGGGGTTTGATTCCAGATGTGTGTCCCATCGATGTAAGGACAACCTGCTCTTAGTAGATTTACACATGTTTCATATTTGTTTCATTTCTTGATGATGGATTTAACAGAACTCCTGGGACATTGAGGACTTTGAAAATCCTCGTTTCCATCCCCCGACTGTATTTTTCAATCATCTTTTCTCTGAGTTGAATTACAACAGTCACTTTGAAGGGGGTGAATATTTATGCAATCACTTATTTGACATGACATATATTTATTTAATTATTACTCTGTAGAAATTGAGTTTCACTTTGACCATAAATATTTTATGGAAATTTATTTGTAAAGAAGGCCAATTTGTCTTTAGCATAATTGATTGACAGCAAAAAAGCATGTTGAAGATGTGAGCCAGGATAATGAGGCTGATCTTTATTTTCTTGTACTGTACATTTGGTGCCCCGTGTGAGGCCCTGATTTAGTGAGGGACAAGGAAGGATGATGCTTTCTCTTCACCTTACTGCACTTATTTGCACTTGTTAAAATGGGACACCAGCTCAGTTTACTGACCAGTAACGGGTTAATTAATTAATTAATTTTATATAATTTGTATGGATCCTTTGATTGCCTATTGTTGTCTTTGTTGTCCACTGTTGTCATCACTCACTAAAATCAGGTTTCTTTTGTAAATGAGTCCTTGAGGCTCAGTGGGATTAACCTGTAGAAATAAAGGTTGAATGAAAAATACATCTTTTAATAATTAGAACTCAGTCACTGAAGTGGAATTGGTTCATTACCAAGATCTTTTAAACTGTTAACTCTCTAATGATGTGCAAAGCTTTCTCTGCCCGAGAACATTACACACAGCTCGTCTCTTAAAGTGAAAAACAAAACAGACAAATATGTTCAAACCATATTAGAACATTTCAGTGATTTCATAACTGCAAACAATAATCAACTTATTGTTCAAACATTTTAATCAAATAAAGTCATCCTAATTTAATGATTTTTTTCAAAAGTTTAAAAAGTGTGTAAGCTTTTATCAGTTTGTAGGTGATTAAGTGTTCTAGGACTGTGAATGTGCAGAAACAATGAGACTTTATTCAGGTTAAAGGTAACTGTAATAAAAACCTGTTCAGGGTGGTTCTGACGATGACCTCAGGGTCAGAGGTCATGTCAAGCAGGCCTTCGTCATGCTACAAGCATAACACATTCAAGGGACTTTATACTTTTTATAGGCACTCTATTTATCTGTGTATTTCTTGATGTTTTGTGGCCTTTCCTAGTTCATGATGAAGAACGTAACAAACCTGTTCAAAGTAATTGATGATAATTAGTAAAACTGCTTCACTGGTTGAATCTTTACAGGAGTAAAACCTACGACATGCTGCAGTACTACCAGAACCAGATTCCTTACTGAGGATCCTCTGATGTCTCGACGGTGTTGGTCCGGTGGTCTCTGCTGAGGACCAGAACAGCTGTTTCTGCAGCATCCAAGCACTTTAACCCTAATCCTCCTGCTTTACTCTGCACACAACATGCTGACCCACTCGAGTTTCCTTCTGTAACCCAATCAGACTAGGTTATATCGGACTTTTTACCAGAACCAGGACCTGCATCACCCTTTAACTGTTGTCTAGATGTGTTTGTGTTTGAACCTTTTCGACTTGCAGCAGATCATAAAGGGAGCCATATTTAGTGTTTGTCGGAGCAGCTGTTACCCACAATGCACTTTACAGATCCTTCCTGTGCTCACGGTGCTGTAGATAGAAACAGTGAACAGTATTTTACATGTAGAAGACATAGATCAGCGTTTACCCTACCTGTAGGTATTTTAGATGTGAACAAATGTTTAGTGAGCCGTCATCGCTGTAAAATATCTCGTGTGTTCAGACCACAGGCAGCTTCCTACATTTACATGTGAACGGTATATTTACCAGGAAGATGTAACTTGACCATTAGATCTTCATGTCGTCGTCTGTTTCATGGAAGCACCTTTCTGGACCCAGGTCTTACAGACTTGTCTGCTGCTTCTCGTTCCACCCAAATGTTTCAGAACTGCAGAAATGAAATTCAATTTTTATTTGTTGTCAATCCACACCTTGTTTTTGTAATAACTGGAATGACCCATCCATCCATCCATTATCCATCATCCATCCATCCATCATCCATCATCTTCCTGTTGTTCTGGACTCAGGTCTGCGGCAGCATCTTGAGCAGGGAGGTCCAGACATCTCTCTCCACACCCTCTTCCAGCTCTTCTGAGAGGACTCCAAGGAGTTCCCAGATCAACTGAGAGATGTAGTCTCCAGTGTGTCCTGGGTCTTCCCTGGGCTCTCCTCCCAGTTGGACATGCTTGAACCTCCTCAACTGTCTCCTCTGGATGTGGAGGAGCAGTGGTTCTACTCTTTCTCCTGATAACTGAACTTCTCAGCCTGTCTCTAAGGGAGAGTCCACCTACCCTGCATTTCAGTCTCTACCAGAGTTCATGACCAGAGGTGAGGGGAGGAACGTAGACCGACCAGTAAACAGAGAGCTTTGTCTTACAGCTCAGCTCCTCTTCACCACAACGGACCGGCACAGAGTCCACAATACTGCAGATGCTGGATCTGTCTGTCAGTCTCACGCTCCATTTTTCCCTCACTCATGAACAAACCCAGAGATACTTGAACTCCTCCACTTGAGGCAGAACCTCACCCTCGACCTGAAGACAACAATCCACACTTTTCTGATCTTCATTTAGTTCAAATCCTAAATAAAAATCTTCCTATTTTACCAAATTCTTTATTTTATCACGATTATCAGCACAAGCAAAATAATAAGTTTGTAAAGTCGACTGAACCCGACCAAAGAAGCCATAAAGAGGAAGTCTTTACATCGTCACCCGTCTTCAGGTCCGTGATGTTTCTCTAGTTCGTTGCCTCGGCTCATCAGACAAAACTTAAATCTGCTTCATGTTGCTCAGAGACACTTTCTTTATTCTTTATTTTTTATTTTTCCTGGGTTTTTTTTTTTTTTGGTTTCTTTTTCCAAACCTTTTTTCAGTTTGTAAGACAGTCGTATTAATTCTGTTTAACCTGGTCAGGTAAGTGTGACGTAATAACAAGATAATCATGTTTATCACGTGAAACTTTCTTTAAAACTTTAACAAATTGGAGCGTGAAGGTCATGAAGCACAAGCACTTGTGGCAGCAAGCAGACGCTTTTAAAAATTGTTTTCATGTTAAATATTTCCTTATTTTTATTCTGTTTGTTCTTTCAGGCTTGTTTTGTTTTTGACGTTTGTGTAGTTTAAATTTTTTTATTTTCTCCGTACGTTCTGGTCCTCGACCCGCTGCAGGCGTCTGTATATGATGCGTTCCTGGATTTGTTTCCTGTTCAGCGAAGTGGATCAGAACCAGATGTGAAATGTTTCTGAAGATAAAACTCCAAGAAGCCGCTTCTCCTCCGCTGAGAAGAAAAAACTTTAAACACAGAAGAAGAAACGCGCTGTAGTGGAGTTTCGAGGTTTTCTGGATGCTGTATCGTTCCGTCCTACGTGTACGTTTACTTCCTGTTCTGTGTCTGTGATTTGATAAAACTATCTGCTGTGAACAGAGTGGCGTCTTTGTTGTTCCTCTGTCCCCTGTGCCTCCAGGGTTGCCGGTTCAACTCCCCGAACCGACAACTTCAAAATGTGGGTGAGAAAGGTGAAACGCCTGCCTCCACCCTCTTTTGCTCCACTCTGGGCCCTTGAGCAAGGCCCTTAACCCCCACCATCTGCTCCCCCAGGCGCCCTAGATGTCAGCCCCCTGCTCCACTCAGAGGCTGTGGTAGCTCGGTGTCTGTGATTGTGTCAGGAAGAACATCCGGAGTAAAACCATCACCAAGTCTTCATGTGAGTTAGTTCACTGTGGCGACCCCTGAAGAAGGAGCAGCCGAAAGAAGAAGAAGAAGAATCATGCTGTGAATGCCCTTCATTTTTCTGACCACGTCATGCAAAGCACTAGACTGGTAGCACAGCATGATGTTACCACCACCATGCTTTACAGTTCTGCAGAGTTCTTGAGTTTGAAGGCTACTTGGCTTAGCTCAGCGTTTTTGGTTTGTTGGACCTTCAAACTGCTCCAGAAGATATTTGACATGCAGCTACATCATTCAGTCCAAGCTGAAGGGATTTTGGAGTGGAGGGGTACCAATCATGGCAGCCTGAAAGCAACAGAGGCCGGGGTCTACCTTACCAGACCAGACCCAAGAGGCTCCTGAGATAGCAGGACGTAAGATCCACACAGGCAAAGCATACATGGAACGCTGTAACCAAGTGGCTGGAATGATGGGAACATCTGCAATGATATACAGGAACATCTGTGCTGAGCATGGACTGGAGGTCCTACAGTCAACATGGGAGACCTCACCAAGGGTGGTGGAGAATGGAAGGGCTAAGATGTCCAGATGCATGATCAATAATCCAGGCTAAGATGCAGCGAGACGTCCAGATCCAGATGGCCAACAAGCTACAGAAGAAGACAGTGGTGATGGATGTGGCAATCCCAAGAGACTAACATCTGGAAGGAGGAGAACCGACGCTTGAGAAATACAAAGGGCTGAAAGAGGACATTGAGAAGTTGTGGAGCGTCAAGGCATCGCCACCAGTAGTCCCACTGGTCATTGGAGCACTCGGTGCTGTGACCCTGGAACTGGAAGAGTGGCTCCAACAGATCCCAGGAACAACTTCAAAGATCTCCGTCCAGAAGAGTTCAGTCTTAGAAACGGCAGAGATACTGAACCCTCAAACTCCCAAGCCTCTGGTAGAGGACTCGAGTTTGAAGTGAAGTGGAAGCGCCCGAGTGTAATCACATTGAAAGAGGAAAACTAACGCTGCAGTGTTAGCCACCTTGTGTTTGGAATAACCGCTTCGGACACCAGTGACCAACACGGACTCTCAACAGCCTGCAGGAGGTTCCTGAAGGTGCACCTCTGTGTTTTGGTCCCACCCACCCCACATCAACATGGTGACTGGTTAATTTCCCCATCCTGTGGGGCCTCTGACGGAGCTGAGCCTTCTCTCCTGACAGTGAAGTCTTTACCAATACTGATAGAAGTAATGTAGGTCAGAACGTTCCTGACGCCTCCTTATCTCTATGCCGACGATACAGTTGTTTATTGTTGTCTGTACATTTTCTGTGCTTTGTCTAAAGTATTACTAGTATTTGTCTAGTAGTATATATTTTTTTTAATTGAAAACAGGTCTCTTGTCGATGAGTCCTCGTGACTCGGTGAGACTACCTGCAGAAATAAAGGTTGAATTAAAAAAAAGAATTTATGAACATGTTTCTGCCTGGAGACACATTTAAAAAGCATCAGATTGGATGACAATATTTTCATGAAGTTTCTTTCACATCTGCAAAGTAATTAATAGAAAATAGGAGAAATTACTTGACAGATGCGAAAGAAACTTCATGAAAATATTGTCATCCAATCAGATGCTTTTTAAATGTGTCTCCAGGCAGAAACATGTTCAAATGTTATTTATTTTTATCATTGTTTATATATACACTATATATATATATATATATATATATATATATATATATATATATATATATATATATAGATGTGTGTGTGTGTGTGAAAATGGATGGATGGATGGATATATATATATATATATATATATATATATATGCATGTATGTATATGTATGTATATATAGTGTATATATAAACAAAACGATGTATAAACGTCCTGATGCTCAATAATCCAGGTAGATGAATCTCACAATGTTGAGTCAGGTCCTCTGGACAGATTCTTCTTTGTTGAAATGTTTTGTCTTTTATCTAAAAGACTTCTTCAGTCTGGAGCTGCAACAAACTCAGTCTTATAAATAGGACCTTCTCATAGTGGATCAACCAATTTGCCGATGACATCCAGAACTAGGTGTTCACATGTGAAAGTAGGACCATCAAACTAACGACGGACTGTTGGTGCCCTGATGGCAGCTTGCTATTCACAGAGGCCTGGGAGGTGCTGATCTGGTCTGTGGTGACCCCTGAGAAATTCAGCAGCCAAAAAATAAATAAATAACCTGCTTAATTTGGGCCTTTATAATTTTTGTTCAGTTCTTCTCCTGCTCCGCTCCTGTTTCCTGGAATATCTTGTAAAAAGATCTGAAGCTCTCGACCTTTGACCTCTCTAAGTGGCTTTAAGAATCTGTTGGACTCCTGGCAGGGTCCAATGCTGACATGTTCCTGTTTTTAGTTTTCTACATTTGTCTTGGAATCTAGCTGTTTTTTTTGTTTTGTTACCTTTTTCCTTTTAGCCATCCTATTTGTTTAAAAAAAAAAAAAAAAAGTAGTATATGAGTTTTTATAACTGTTTATTGTTGTTGCTGTTGTCCATTGTTGTCATCTTTCTTTGTTGAAATCAGGTCTCTCTTGTAAATGAGTCCTCGAGGCTCAATGGGATTTACCTGTAGAAATAAAGGTTGATTGATTTAGTTTTCTACATTCGCCTTAGAATCCAGCTGTTTTTGTTACTTTTTTTTGCCATCTTATTTTTAATTTGTAAAAAAAAAAAATCTGTATGCCTTTTTATAATCGTCCATTGTGTCATGATTCTTTGTTAAAGCAGGTCTCTGTTGTAGATGAGTCCTGGAGGCTCATTGGGATTAATCTGTCTAAAAGTTGAATGAATTTGTAAAACTTGAAATCTTTTCAGGATTTTTGTTGGCTTCTGTTTGCAGTAGTGCTCACCTTTGTGTAGTTGTGTATGCTGAGACTTTTTATTCCGTTTGTTTTATTGTTGCACTTTGACCGCTCAGTTGAGCTCTGACTAAAGTTTACGGTGTTGCCTTCACTGACCCATATTTTTGTCTGTAAACCGCTCCTGAACTCGTGAACGCTCTGACTTGCAGCAGTAAAATGAACCGCGGTGGTCGTGAACCTGTAGACGGAAGCTGAGCTGGTGTTTCTGTGTGGACAGCTTCGTCCTGCCTCTGATAATGAGCCACAGAAGGAGTGTGCAGGTGAGTGCCTGAAGTTTCCCAGCGCAGGTAAAGTAGCCCTGCGCGCGGTGACGTCAAAGGGAAGGGCAGGTCACGTGGTGCAGCCTGGTTTAGTGTTCCTGATGGGAGAAGTGAAGTAAGGTGGACCGGAAGAAGCGACCAAGGTAAGCGGGTCTCGTCTCTGGTTTTCAAAGTCTAACGGAAGGAGCCCGCGGCGGGAATCACGCAGGGACCCGGTTGTTTTGTGGAAATTAAAGTAAATAAAAAAGTTCGGTGTTAAAAACTGCGGCGAACTTCAGTTTGTGTCCGCTGACCGGAAGCACGGAGAGACCAAAGTAAAAAACTACAAAATGTCCCTTTAACACGGACAGTCCTGGTTCTGGTCCAGTTCTGGTCCTGCTCCCGGGTTTATCGGGCCTGCTGTCGGTGGTTCGATCCCTCACAGGAAATGTTGATGTGTAATCTTTATGGTTTATTACAGATTAATGTAAATGTGCTGCTCCACGGTTCGAGTCAGCTGCGAACTAACTCCCACATTGTTTTTACTCCGGGTGTCCTGACACAGCCACTGTGTGGAGCAGGGAGCTGCCTTGCTCAAGGGCCCAGAGTGTTGTTAAATGAGTGTGGGGACACGTGTGGGTGTTTCACCTTTCCCACCCACATTTTCATGTTGTCGGTCTGGGGAATTGAACCAGCGACCTTCGGATCACAGGCCCACCTTTTCAATCCTCTGTGCCACCGTTCCCCTTCTACAAAACATAGATAAAAAATCAAGACACAAGCCGGCGTGTGGTGTAAATACCTGAAAAGCAAAGAACAACAAGGCCTGGTCATGTGACTGTTTGTGTAAACAAAAACAATTTTCACGAGTGAATAACGTGTTGAACGTGCACTGTTGCAGATTTCACCTGTTTGTCCCTTCTGGTCCACCGTACATGTGCATCTCTTCTCCCTGTTCAAAGATAAAGACTAAACCGTTCTATAATAAAATGAAGGAGGGGTGTCTCCTCCCGTTGGTGTGAGGAGTTCTGGTTCTGGTGGACCGGATGTCTGAAAGCTCCCTCTGAGCGGGACATGGACGCTTGTGATTCATGAACCGAGTGTGTTGACCTACAACAGCTCGCTCCACGGCACATTTTGAACCAGCGTTTTATTTGCAAGGACCCGATTCAAGACCGATTCCATCCATCGATACAGAAAACACGGAACGTGTCGCAGAATGAGCGTCGAATCGTCTTCTGCAGACTTGAATCCAGCAGGCGTTCCCTCATAACAGACGTAAAGACATGATCCATGGGCATCAGCGAGTCGGCCACAAGACGGAGATGAGAGAATGTTTTAGACAGAGCTCTCTGTTTACTGGTCGGTCTACGTTCCTCCCCTCACCTCTGGTCATGAACTCTGGTAGAGACTGAAAGAATGAGATCGTGGATCCAGGAGGTTGAAATGAGTTTCCTCTGAAGAGCTGGACTCTCCCTCAGAGACAGGGGGAGAAGTTCAGTTATCAGGAGAGACTCGGAGGAGAACCACTGCTCCTCCACATCCAGAGGAGCCAGCTGAGGTGGTTCAGACATCTGTTAAAGATGCTCCCATGGCGCCTCCCTAGGGAGGTGCTTCAGGCATGTCCAACTGGGAGGAGACCCCGGGGAAGACCCAGGACACGCTGGAGAGACTATGACCTTCAGTTGGTCTGGGAACACCTCAGAGTCCTCCCAGAAGAGCTGGAAGAGGCTGTGGAGAGAGAGGTCTGGACCTCCCTGCTCAAGATGCTGCCCCCAAGACCTGAGTCCAGAACAGGAGGAGGAAGATGATGGATGGATGGATGCTTAGTGGTTTAGCATTAGCAAAGCTAATGTTTTGGTTAGCTGTGCCCACCACTGTTGGAGACACCACCTGATAGTTTCCACTGCGTGCACGTTGAAATAAGCTGCGTTTAAAAAAGACAACAGTAAAACGAGCAGAGCAAAACGGTTGCACGGCTCACTGGTCACTTGGCTGCAAACACTTAAATTTGTTGGAGTTTGAGATCTTTTTCACTGAACATTTTGATATAATGTCCATGATGTGTGTTTTCAGGGACCATCACCATCCTCATGTCCAATGGAGGAACTTTTTTTGGACACACTGAGCGTGTCCACCAGGCGCCGCACTATGACCAGGTTCCCACAGACACTTTATCCCATTCGGACTCCTACGACCTGCAGCTTTTGAGAGAGCAGGGAGCGCCTCATCTGGCTAGGAGCGCAGACCCTCTTCCTGCTCCGCCTCTGCCGGACCATCCTCCTGTTGGCCCAGATTTCGATCGCAGCGGCAGTGAGGGCGACGCCAGTCCAGAATTGGACCCTGCCATTGACATTAAACCAGTTCACCGCTTCATCCCCAATTCCTGGAAGAGCTTCTTCAGAGGAAGTGACCGCAGCAGCAAGAAGGCGTGGTCCATTCCTGCATCCTCATCCAACAACAACAACAACAGCACAACCCAAGGTGTGCGCTGTTCCCCCCCACAATCCCCTTCTCTTCCTGGATCGTACCGGGACCCACATGGTGGCTCGGGCAGCAGCTACAATTCCCGTAAGGAGCTTCTAGGTGGACAGGATGGGTCCTTGTCAGGGCACACGCACCACACAGGTCTGACCTACAGCGAGCGGGTGGAGGAGTACCACCAGCGCTATGGCTACATGAAGTCGTGGGCGGGGCTTTTGAGGATCCTGGGCTGTGTGGAGCTGCTGCTGGGAGCTGGTGTGTTTGCATGTGTCTGTGCTTACATCCACAAAGACAATGAGTGGTTCAACATGTTCGGATACTCGTCCCCCGGAGGGTCTTTTGGATCTGGGTACTATGGCGCTGGAATGGACGGTACCTACTACACTGGCCCTAAGACCCCGTTTGTGTTGGTGGTGGCAGGTCTGGCCTGGCTGGTAACTGTGATTCTGCTGGTCCTGGGGATGACCATGTACTACCGCACTATCCTGATGGATTCCAACTGGTGGCCCCTGACAGAGTTCATTATAAACCTGGTCCTGGCGGTGCTCTACATGACAGCAGGTAGGTCCTACTGGAAGTTTGTAAATCAGCAAAATTGTTTGTTTTTATTGCCGAAGGCCAAAGGGTGTCTCTGCTCCAGTGTGAGAATTTGTTTAAGTGTTAGCAAAATATCCCATGAACCACAGGTAAAACTTTAATGCTAATGCTAACCCTTAGCAAATAACCATTGATGTACATTTACATGTAAGTGATGGGGCAGCTGTGGATGAGTGGTTAAAGCAGACATTCTCCAATGGGAGAATTGGGGGTTTGATTCCAGCAGTCACATGTTGGAGTGTCCCTGAGCAAGACACTGAACACACCTTTGTCTCCGATGTGTGTCCCATAAGTGTCTGAAAGTGATAAAGCTCTGATTGTTCTCTAAAGATTCAGATTATCTTTGTAGAGATGTAGTAGAGTTCTGTATGAATGTGGGTGTCGTAGAGGAGCTGGTTGAGATGGTTCAGACATCTGGTAAGGATGCTCCCTGGGGAGGTGTTCCAGGCATGTCCAACTGGGAGGAGATCCCGGTGAAGACCCAGGACATGCTGGAGAGACTACATCTCTCAGCTGGTCCGGGAACACATTGGAGTCCAAGTAAGGAAGGGAGGGAGGTCCCATCCATCCATCCACTCATCCACCCATCCATCCACTCATCCACTCATCCATCCACTCATCCATCCACTCATCCATCCATCCACTCATCCACTCATCCACCCATCCATCCACTCATCCACTCATCCATCCACTCATTCACTCATCCACCCATCCATCCACTCATCCATCCACTCATCCATCCATCCATCCATCCATCCACTCATCCATCCATCCACTCATCCACCCATCCATCCACTCATACACCCATCCATCCATCCATCCATCCATCCATCCATCCACTCATCCATCCACTCATCCATCCATCCATCCACTCATCCACTCATCCATCCACTCATCCACCCATCCATCCATCCATCCATCCATCCACCCATCCATCCATCCATCCATCCATCCATCCGAGCAGAAGTGTTTTCCAGCAGAGCAGCAGGACAAATGGTTTCAAGGCTGCCCTCCAAGATGTCAGCAAATCTGTTGAAATTAACTTTTGATTTGACTCCATGTATCTCCATATATCTGAGTTTATTTTCCGTTCTTCAGCTATCGTCTACGTTCGAGACACCAATCGTGGAGGGCTCTGTTTCTACCCGTACTTCAACAACGGCATCAACGGTATGTTCTGCCGCGTGGAGGCGGGTCAGATTGCAGCCATGGTCTTTCTTTTCGTCACCATGGTCGTGTATCTGATCGGAGCCATCGTGTGCCTCAAGCTGTGGAGGCACGAAGCTGCACGCAGGTACCGGGAGAGGTACGGTCGACAGGTGAGGGCTCCCATGGGTTTTTGTTCTGGTTCTGGATCTGGATCTCTACTTCATTAGAGTGATGTTACATCCCTACTGTTCCTATTCTTGACTGCACTATGTTGAGGCTCTGGGGTATGATCAGATATAGATCTTGGCAACATCTCGACAGAGGTAACCATCGGGAGTAGAGTAGTACCAGTATGTACTCTATCCAATAAAACGTCTTTATGTCGAGATGAGTAAAAGGTATAATCTTGTACTAACGGGTTATGTAGTCTTTGCTCATCTTTTTTTGTCCTTCATAAAGAGGTTGAGAACTTTGGATGCTGCATCCTGAGAACTTGGCACAGCTGAAATGGATTTGTCAAGATCATCATTCAAATGTGTATTTGTATCTGGTCCTGTATAAAAACTATAGTCTGTTTTAACCTGAGCAGAGGTGCAGCGAAATGCTAAACCTCCTGCATCATCAGAACCGGTCTTTTCAATTGAAATGTTCAGATTTAGTTTCAGAACGATCACAACACCTTTTGTACAGGTTCCATCAGCTGACCCTGCAACTGGCTTATACCTACAGTTTGTCACCTGAGTACATCCTGAGGTGTTGCATGGGTTTGTTACACACACCGATATGGAAGTCCCTTCGTGACAATCCCTCACAGCATGTTCAATAAAATCAAACAATTCTAGGATCCCAGTTTTCCCCATAATCTTCTCACCTCCTACGTGCGGCTCCACTCTCTCCTGCTCTGTTTGACACCCGTCGCCCTCGAACCAACAGCAATCTGGCCTCACTAAAATACGGCAATTCCAGCCTGAGGACTCTCAGTTAAGAAGATTAAATCTCCCCCGTGCACGGTTCAGATCAAACCTGGAGGTTCAAGGAGATGTTGGGGCCGGCTTCGAAGGACCAAAATGTTGGATAAAAATGTCCTCTGTTCATCTTACTGACTCAAAGAAGCCACGCTCAAGGGCACGAGAAGATTTTTAAGTTTTTTATTTACAAGGGCAAACGCACAACAGGCTTACACACATGTTCAGAAGTTCTACAAACCGGATTCCAAAAAAGTTGGGACACTAAACAAATTGTGAATAAAAAGTGAATGCAATGATGTGGAGGTGCCAACATCTAATATTTTATTCAGAATAGAACACAAATCACAGATCAAAAGTTTAAACTGAGAGAATGTTTCATTTTAAGGGAAAAATCTGTTGTTTCCAAATTTCATGGCGTCAACAAATCCCAAAAAAGTTGGGACAAGTCCATTTTACCACTGTGTGGCATCCCTCCTTCTTCTTCCAACACTCAACAGACGTCTGGGGACAGAGGAGACCAGTTTCTCCAGTTTAGAAATAGGAATGCTCTCCCATTCATGTCTAATACAGGCCTCTAACTGTTCAATCGTCTTGGGCCTTCTTTGTGGCACCTTCCTCTTTATGATGCGCCAAATGTTCTCTATAGGTGAAAGATCTGGACTGCAGGCTGGCCATTTCAGTACCTGGATCCTTCTCCTACGTAGCCATGATGTTGTGATTGCTGCAGAATGTGGTCTGGCATTATCATGTTGAAAAATGCAGGGTCTTCCCTGAAAGAGATGACGTCTAGATGGGAGCATATGTTGTTCTAGAACCTGAACATAGTTCTCTGCATTAATGGTGCCTTTCCAGACATGCAAGCTGCCCATGCCACAAGCTCTCATGCAACCCCATACCATCAGTGATGCAGGCTTCTGAACGGAGCGTTGATAACAACTTGGGCTATCCTTGTCCTCTCTGGTCCGGATGACATGGCGTCCCAGTGTTCCATAAAGAACTTCAAATCGTGACTCATCTGACCACAGAACAGTCTTCCATTTTGCCACACTCCATTTTAAATGACCCCTGGCCCAGTGCAAACGTCTGAGCTTGTGGAGCTTGCTTAGAAATGGCTTCCTCTTTGCACTGTAGAGTTTCAGCTGGCAACGGCGATGGCACGGTGGATTGTGTTCACTGACAATGCTTTCTGGAAGTATTCCTGAGCCCATTCTGTTATTTCCTTGACAGTGGCATTCCTGTTTGAGGTGCAGTGACGTTTAAGGGCCCGGAGATCACGAGCATCCAGTAGAGTTTTACGGCCTTGACCCTTACGCACAGCGATTGTTCCAGATTCTCTGAATCTTTTGATGATGTTATGCACGGTTGATGATGATAACTTAAAAATCTTTGCTATTTTACGCTGGGTAACACCATTCAGGTATTGCTGCACTATCTTTCTGTGCAACAATGGTGGAATTGGTGATCCTCTTACCATCTTGGCTTCTGAGAGACACTGACACTCTGAGAAGCTCTTTTTATACCCAATCATGTTGTCAATTGACCTAATTAGTGTTAATTGGTCTTCCAGCTCAATTTCCTTTTTCCAGCCACTTATTGCAACTTGTCCCAACTTTTTTGGGATTTGTTGACACTGTGAAATTTTGAATCAACATATTTTTCCTTTAAAATGTTACATTTACTCAGATTAAACTTTTGATCTGTCATCTATGTTATATTACGAATAAAATATTGACATTTGCCATCTCCACATCATTACATTCAGTTTTTATTCACAATTTGTTTAGTGTCCCAACTTTTGTGGAATCTGGTTTGTTCATGGTGTGAAGCCCAGTCAGGAGAATCTGCACCGGGCAGTGTGCAAGGATTGTTTTTATATTATCAGCTCTCACAGATGGTTCAACAGTAATTTAACAGTAGTAGTGATAAACCTGGCAGTTGTACGGGGGCAGGAGCCCACAGGCAGCTGCCGCGAACAGACACAGGAGTCGGGCTTGGAACCGTCAAGTAAGGGGGGGGGGGGGGTTTACAGAAGTGTTTATAAATGTAGGTAAACAGAGAAGTTTAACAACCCATTAAAATGCAGGAAATAGCATCTACTTTGGTCAAAATGTTCTGTGGAAGGACCCCCCCACCTCCGCCGGCCCCACTATCTGCGTTACAGCATTGATTTTTGCAGCATGATTCACTTTCAGTGTGATCAGGTAGATCAGGAATCAGTTGATCCCTTCATGTTTTTGTTGGACATCATTGTAGGTTTGTCAGTTCTGGCGGTCACAACGCTGCAGTCTGGAAAAACCTCAACACAAAGAAACACAACAATTTAAAACACAATAATGGAGAATAAAACACGGCCGAACATTATTTAACTGGATTTGTCACAACATGCTGAAGATGAACTGATGTGTTAATGACACACATGAATTACATCTGTATTTCGTCATGAACACGTGTCAACAATAAGCCCTGCTTAAAATGAGCACATTAACACACGTGTTGTCAGGAGAGTCGTCAGGTGTTTCCCTTCTACAACAAATGAAATGGGACAGAAGCTTCGGTGTTTTTCTGTAGTGTCATCGCTGCAGCGTTGTGTTAAACACGGGTCCAGGTCTAAAAGTCGCCTCAGCATTGAACGACGTGAAACTGCAGCAGACAGACAGGCAGGCAGCCTGTCTCACTGCACACACAGCGTTCAGCAGCTTCCACCGTTTGCAGTGGATTTGTTTTTCCTGCTGCCAGACCAACGTCTCTAACCAAACTTTTGTCCTGAAGTGGTCCAGACTTGTTCAGTTTGTGAAAATGTTTTAACCTGTTGAGCCTCAGCGCGTCTCAGCTCTGACTTTAGGCCGCTGAATGTTCCTGTCGGGTTCCTCCAGTCTTCAAAGGAACGTGAACGTGTGATGTGAATGAACTGAACGTTTTGTGTTCACGTGTTTGTTCTTTGTTCTCTTGCAGCCGTCTGAGATGCAACCTGTGGTAAGGCTGTTTTTACAAGCTCATTATTGGACGGTTCAGTTCTTGACATCGTAGCTCATTTCTTGTTTTGTTTTCAGGTGGTGACAGATTCTGCTCCAACTCCTAGAAATCCAGAGCAGGTCCAGGGTTCCTCTGTGGTTCCTATCCGAGCTCCACCAAAAGCTGTTCCCACAAAGGTTGTGCAGGGAGCAATACCGTCAGGATACATCCCCAAACCGGTCATCGTCCCCGATTACATCGGGTAAGTGCTCCTAACAACACAGAAGAACAAGTATTCTTTTACATTCTGAACCATTTTATGGGAATTATATTATTTTCTGTCTCCGTGGTGCAGAAAATACCCAGTGATCCATTCGGACGAGGAGCGGGACCAGTACCGAGCGGTGTTCAACGACCAGTACGCAGAGTACAAAGAGCTGCACTCGGAGGTCCAGGCCACCCTGAGGAAGTTTGAGGAGATGGACGACATGATGCGTGGCCTGCCTCAGCACCCCACCACCCAAACGGTGACGAGTCTCAGACTTTGTTCTCAAACGTTGCGTCGTGTCCGACTTCAAAGCTTCTTGTTCCTGAACCTCGACCACAGCTGCCACGGCAGTTTATAACTCCGCACCGTCGGCTGATGTTTCTGAGAGTTTTTACAAACGGGAACACTTTATCTTGTTGTCTCCGTGTTTATGAAGCGGTCACTGTGATCCATTTCTCTTCTGTACTTGTTCAGCATCTTTCTCGTCCCGCAGTTTTCAGCTGTTTCAACAAATCATGAACCAAAACATTCGGCTCTTTCAGCACAATCCTGCTGTGACTCTTGGTGTTGCTGCAACTTTAGCTCTTTGAAATTTTTAGCCTTTTCTGCCATTTTGTTCTCATAGAAAATGAATTGATCTCATTTTCCATCCTTCAGATCTTTAGATGTGTTTACAACCTTTAACTGCTCCTTACACGTTTTGTTCTGCTTCAGCTTCTTTCAGCTTCCTGCTGCAAATTTAAACTTTTCAGCTATTTTCAGCTGTTTTTTTTCAGCTGTTTTGTGCTCCTTTCGGATTGTTTCTGCTGACTACAATATTTTTGTGCTTCTTCTAACTTCTTTCATCTTGTTATGATCTTTTCAGCTTATTTCTGTTACTTTCAACGTTTTCTGCTATTTCAGCTACTATTTAGCTGTTTTTATGCTAATTTTAGTTTTTCAGCTAATTACACATTTTTTGCACTCATTTAAACTTTTTTCAGCCGAATGCAGCAAAAATGTGCTCTCTCTACTTCCTTCGTGTAATTTAAGCTTCTTTCTGCTTTTTTAGCTACTTTTCAGCTGTTTTACTAGGGGTGCACCGATAAATCGGCTGGCTGACTTCCTTAATTTTGGGAACTCGTCCGATACTTGCATGAGAAACAGACTTTACAGATTTTTTTTAGTTTTAACAACAATTGTCTGAACTTCATTCATATTTCAGAGCTCTACCTCACGGCCAGTTAAAACCAGTTTGTATTGTTCAATGGTCTGTTTTTCAATAAAATCATATTGTAAAATTGAAGGTGCATTGTGACCTTAACTCCTGACGGTGTCTCTTATTAAACTAAATCGGTATCGGCAGCTCAGACTTTTTAAAAATCCGTGATCGGCCAGAAAACTTCAATCGGTGCACCTCTAGTTTTTATTAATTTCAGCTTTTTTCAGATCATTTCTACTTTTTTGTGCTCATTTCTGCTTCTTTCAGCAAAAATGTATTCTTTGTGCTTTCTTCTGTTAATTTCAGCTTCTTCTACCTTTTCAGCTAGCTTTTTAGCATTTTTAGGTCATTTCAGCTGTTTTCAGATAAATTCAAATTTTTGTTGGTAATTTCTGCCACTTTTAGCCTAATTAACTTCTTTGTGCTAGTTTCAGCGTTTTCTGCTCTTTCAGCTTTTATTTAGCTCTTTTGATGCTAATTTTAGCTTTTTCAGCTAATTCCATCCGTGGGACAAAAAGGCTGTTTCTATTCTATTTTATTTATGTATATTTCTGATAATTTAAACCAAACTCAGCAAATATGTGTTCTTTTTGCTTTCTTCTGTTCGGAAGAAAAAAACCGTACTGTACGTATTTGTGTATGTTAGCGGTACGTATCGTAGCATCCTGCTGTGGTTGACTGCTGGTCACATGACCTCAGGGAGGGATTATGGGTAAAATTTATGTTGATTGTTAATCATTTCAGTTATCGGTTTATCATTGTTCTTTTAGTGATTAGTCTGTTCTTGTTAGCCTAGTTGGTGTGTTCATCACGTGTTAGTTTGTGTTGGACCGTTCAGCAGAGTAACCACAGGGAGGTAGTTGCCATGACGACCTGTGGGCTTCACTCTGTGTTGAACAGGAAGATAAAACTCCATCTGGAGGTTGGTTCTTGATCTACAACAAGCTGCACATCTGTCTCAGCAGCTGTGCTGCCACTCATGTTACAACATGAACACCCGCAGCTTATAAATGTACAAAATAATCATTATTTTATTTAGTGTGCGCGGCTTATAGTCCGGTGCGCTCTATAGTCTGGAACTTACGGTAGTTCTGTTGAAACATGTCAGAAATCAAAATATAAAATCATGTGTTGTCTACAAGTATCGATGCCAACAAATGCTCAGTGAACGTGTTTGCTTATGATGATGGCTTCTTCACAGCTGTGCAGTTTGTTGGAAGGAACCTCTAGAAGTCAAAGTCTGACGTGTTAAAACAAACATGTGATGTCGTGCAGCCACGCCTTCATCAGTCGGACTCTTCTGCAGCTCCAGTATCAGTGAAGAGCTGCGTCCTTTCATTTGTCCATGTGTAAAACAGCTGGCCTGGAGTTTAGAAGTGTTTTCCTTCATGCACTCTTTCCTGCAGCTTCCTCTGACTTCAGTTCCTCTTTTCACCGTGTTTCGTCTCCGGCTGTTATCAGCTCTGCAGCTGTTTCTGCTGCGTCACCGCACCTGATTTTCCTAGCGAGTTTCGGTCTGTCGTAATGACATCTGAGTGAAATACTTTGTCTGTTTGCTTGTAGGAGGTGGAGCGCATCAACAGAATCCTGCAGGAGTACCAGAAGAAAAGAAACGTGAGCGCGCCGCCTCGGGTTTCACGCAGTTTGTTTTGTGGACAGAAAGGCTTTCCTGGTTGTCTTTTAATCCACTCGTACAGAAGTGCTCAGGGGAGACGGATGGAGGCAGGGAGAAGAGACTAAAAGCTAATTACTACAAACACGCTGCAAACGTCTGGAATTAGCTGTTGGTACTTCTTAGATCTTAAACAAATCTGTGGGAGGAAAAAAACACATTTCTCTAAAAATAAAAAATCAGATTTCTAAAAGTAAAAGCTCAAACAGCAGATTTTTTTTAAAGATTTCTTATGAAATATAAATGTAGAATACTGTGCAAATGTTTTAAACCCCTAGTTTTCTTACTTTTCTTCCAAAATCATCTTTTCTTTTTGGAGTCAGACTCAACATTATTGCCAGTAACATTGCTGCGCCCTAGTGTTCCTTACAGGGAACTCGAGTGTAAAGAGACCCCATTAAAATGCACCTTTGAGCCTAGATTTATCATATAACGTAATGTATTCCTGTCAGTAAAGTATTTTTTATTTTACTTCTAGATCTGTAATATAAGATGGAGCTAGGTTGTTGAGGGCTTTGTAGGTTAGAAGTAAGATTTTGAATTCTATTCTGGATTTGACAGGGAGCCAATGGAGAGAAGCTAAAACTGGAAAGATATGACCTCTCCCAGTAACTCCAGTTAAGACTCTGGCAGCAGCATTTTGGATCATCTGAAGACGTTTTAAAGAAGTATTTGGACACCCAGATAATAAACCATTGCAATAGTCCAGTCTAGACGTGACAAATGCATGGACCAGTTTTTCTGCATCATCTTTAGATCAGATGTTTCTAATGTTAGTGATATTACGCAGGTGGAAGAAGGAGGTTCTAGTAACGTTTTTAATGTGGGGGATAAAAGACATGTCCTGATCAAAAATAACACCAAGATTTTTAACATTAGAACTGGAGGACAGATTAATGCATCTAAGGAGGGAGAAAGACTGAAACATTCATTCCTAAGGTGCTCGGGTCCAAAAACCAAAACCTCAGTCTTGTCTGTTCAACAGGAGAAAATTAAGGGTCATCCAGGTTTTTATGTCTTTAAGACATGCTTGTAGTCTAAGTAGCTGATTGGATTCATTGGGTTTAATGGACAAATATAATTGTGTGTCATCAGCATAACAATGAACATTTATCCCATGCTGTTTAATAACTTTACCTAATGGAAGCATATATAAAGTAAAGAGTATTGGTCCAAGCACTGAACCTTGAGGAACTCCATGACTAACTTTGGTTTATGATGAAGATTCATTATTTACATTTACAAACTGGAATCTATCAGATAATATGATTTAAACCATTTTAGAGCTGTTCCTGTAATCCCAGCATCATATTCAAGCCTCTGTAGTAAAATATTGTGATCAACTGTATCAAATGCAGCACTGAGGTCTAACAGGACCAGTAGAGACACAAGTCCATTGTCTGAGGCCATGAGAATATCATTAGTGACTTTTACTAGTGCTGTTTCTGTGCTATGATGAGCTCTAAACCCTGACTGAAACTCTTCAAACAGATTATTTCTTTGTAGATGTTCACACAACTGACATGCAACTATTTTCTCTAGAATTTTTGAGATGAAAGTTAGATTAGATATAGGTCTATAGTTGGCCAGAATTTCTGAATCAAGGTCAGACTTTTTAAGTAAAGGTTTAATTACAGCAACCTTAAAGCTCTGTGGTACGTAACCGTTTATTAGAGACAAATTAAGCAATGTATCGTTATTGTATGTCTTTGAGTGAATGAAAGTGAGATTGAGGTTGGGATAGTGTGATTGTGTATGTGTATGAATGGGTATTTGTTAGGCCGAGACTCGGACTGCCCCCTCTTTGATACAACTGGGGGTGCTTGGCATCGCGCCCCTATCGCGCGGCCCCCTGGTGGGGTGTGCCCTTGCCTGCCGGCGCGCTTGGGGCCCTTGGTATCGGGGGCTGGG